GCACGGGGGAGGGGAGCCATGGGCGCCATGCAGCGATGCACAGCAATGCAGCAGCGCAGCGGAGCAGAGGTGCAGTGAAGCAGGCAGGAGGGTTTGAGGCAGGGTGGTGCGGGGGAGGGCGGGGTGGTGTGGGGTGGTGTGGGGAGTGCGGGGAGGGCGGGGTGGTGCGGGGTGGTGCGGGGCGGTGCGGGGCGGTGCGGCACCTGGAAGATGTCGAGCAGCAGGTTGACGGTCTCTGAGATGCGCCCCACCGTGTTGCCCCACCCCAGCTCCAGCCCTAGGTCTCGCAGCCTGTGGGAGGAGCGGTGCGATGAGTGGAAGGGAGAAGGAGAAGGACAGGACGGGGAGGGAAGCGCATTTGGGTGTGAGGAGGGAAGCGCATTTGGGTGTGAGGAGGGAAGCGCATTTGGGTGTGAGGAGGGAAGCGCATTTGGGTGTGAGGAGGGAAGCGCATTTGGGTGTGAGGAGGGAAGCGCATTTGGGTGTGAGGAGGGAAGCGCATTTGGGTGTGAGGAGGGAAGCGCATTTGGGTGTGAGGAGGGAAGCGCATTTGGGTGTGAGGAGGGAAGCGCATTTGGGTGTGAGGAGGGAAGCGCATTTGGGTGTGAGGAGGGAAGCGCATTTGGGTGTGAGGAGGGAAGCGCATTTGGGTGTGAGGAGGGAAGCGCATTTGGGTGTGAGGAGGGAAGCGCATTTGGGTGTGAGGAGGGAAGCGCATTTGGGTGTGAGGAGGGAAGCGCATTTGGGTGTGAGGAGGGAAGCGCATTTGGGTGTGAGGAGGGAAGCGCATTTGGGTGTGAGGAGGGAAGCGCATTTGGGTGTGAGGAGGGAAGAGGTGCGCATCGGCCAAGAAACCATGGCATGTGGGGCATGTGGGGCATGTGGGGCATGTGGGGTATGTCAATAGTCTTGGAGCATGTAGTGCTGCTAAGCAACTCATCTCCACTGCTTCTTCACCTTCACAACCTTCCCTCGCCTCCCTTTGCCTCTCCTGCCCACGTCCCCCAGCTGCATGCCACGTGTCTCACCTTTCTGCCACGTGCCTCACCTCTCTGCCACGTGTCCAACAGGAGTCTCGTCATCGTACGACCCCAGCAGATCCTCCGCCCGCGTCAGAGCACGTTTCAGCTGGTCACGTGTCTCGATCTGCTGACTCAGCATCAGTGGCTGGAGGGATGGAACAGCGGGTCATATTTCAACAATCGTTTAACCAATCACCACAAGTAATGGAGATAGAATAAAGAGGAGGGCAAACAAACAGGAAAGAGATCAGAGGAGTGGGAATGAAAAAAATGAATGAACGGGAGAGAAACGACCAGAAGAATCGCACATACACAGAAGCGTCAGTCATGTAAAACCCCTTTAACTCTCTCCCCCTAACAACCTCCCTTCCCCCTCCTCCCAATCGCCCTCTGAATGCCTTATGACATGCACAAGAACTGTGCATGCAGGTTGCCAATCACGCACCGCCTTCTACTCTACCCCGTGCATCCCCTCCTCAAGCCCTCCTAAAACCCCTGTCAACCCCACACAAACCCTGTAACCCCCATCACATCCCCCCGTACCCCTCCTTTCCCCTCTCCCCATCCGCACACACCCACCTGGCCACGGTAGCTGTGGAGGCGCAGGAAGTCAACGAGCGGCTGGATGGAGCCCTGCTGGCTGGCGAAGATGCGCGAGGAGAGGTAGCGGTTGAGGAAGTGCACGCCGTGCCCGATGGACCGCGGCTGCGTCAGCCGCGGGAAGGACGCGTTGAACGGGCCGAAGTCTAGCTCCAGCACGTAGTACGGGTTGTCGCTTGCTGGGCCTCTGAGAGCGGTGTGGTGGGGATTGGGACGGGAGGGGGTGACGAATGATGTGTTGAACGGCGCGTAGGGTCAGCTAAAACACACTGTACAGACAGGTTGTCGCTCATCGGGACTCTGGGTGGTGTGCTGTGTTGGAAATCGAGAGCCGGGAGGGAGGGTGGGAGCAATGAATAGAAGCTGGGAATGATGTGTTGAATGGCCCAGAGTAAAGCTTTAATAGGTAGTATGGGTTGCCCCTGGCAGGGCCCCCGAGTACGGTAGTAAAGCTTCCAAGCATGAAGGCGATGGGGAGCATGGAAAGAAGTTGGAAGGGGGATGTCGACACGAAGCAAACACAGAGGCGCTGCGGCTAGGTCAAGTGTGTTGAAAGGAGCAAGGAACAACATCCAGGTGTCTAATAACAAGTGGCAGCTGAACGGATCCAAACCAACAGACAAGCAGGCTGACAGAGCGACAGAGAGCCAGACAAACATACCCGTTGGAGGAAACGAGGAGTTCTTTGAAGGCGAGGTACTCGGGCACGGTCATGGCCTGCACCAGCACCTCCTCCGCGTTGATCTTCACGTGCTGCCACTCGCCCGGCCGCACACGCACCGCCAGCGCCACCCACGGCGATACCACCACCGCCTCCTGCGACGCCAGAAGCAGCTTCCCGAACGGGCTGTCCTCCAGACTCTCCTCCCCCTCCCCCTCCTCGTCCCCGTCCACCCTGTCGAACCTGTCCGCCGAGGCCCCTGTTGCTGCCGCTTCCCCCGCGACTGCGCCCGCGCCCGCTTTTCTCCCCCCCGCCGCCCTCCGCCCGGCCCCCAGGTCCGCAGAACCGACTCTGCGCACCGCCTCCACCGTGCCCTCCAGCACCTTGGCGGTTTCCGCGTCTGCAGGGATCAGCGCGCCCGCTGCTCCGCCCGCTGCTCCCCCCGCGGCTCCCCACGCGGCTGCCGTGACGATGGCGGCGGGAGAGCGCGGGGACGCGGCTATGCGCGGGGAGCGCGGAGGGGTGGCGTGCGGGCGACGGCGCGCGGCGCTGGCTGCGCGCAGCTGATCGATGAGCTGGTGGGGGAGGAGAATGCCGTTTCCGCACTGCAGACACCTGCCGGGGAAAAGGGGATGGAGGGGGAGGGGACGGGGGGGAAGGGAAGAAAGGGCAACGACCCGGAAAGGGTAATGCAACCGGATTTAAGAAAGGAAGCGGGCAATTGGAGGTAGAGTGGCGGAGAAAGAGGTTTTGCGAAAGACAATTATTCTGAAACTCTATTTCGCCTCTCTACATTCCAAGAATTTGGTTTTGTTATCAAGCCGGCATGATACCACCGTGACCGTTGCCACATGTCGCGACCCGGCGGTCGCACATACCGGGACAGAGTATCAACAATCTCGTTGCGATTCTCCAGCAGGCAGTTCGCCATGCGCTCCGTCACGCGACTCGGCTGCCGAAACAGCCGCGCTGGCTTACGCGCGCCTCCCGCGCTACTAGAGGTACTAGCAGCGGGCGCAACAGGATGATGATCCGCGGAAGGATTCCCGTTGGATACGACTGCAGGTGCAGTCTTGGCGGAATCCATGTCTCGAGATGTGTGGGCGCGCCACTGCAGGTGCGTGACGTATGGATTCTCGAGAACCAATCAAACGCGTGCTGCTTTCTTTCTGGTGGAGAAGAGATGCCTGTTGATGCTTTTATGCCACCGTAACAAGAAAGACCGATGTCGCGATGGTGTGAAGACTAAGTTCTGAGGCCTCTTTGACCTGAGGTCACTAACAACGACGGCTCATAATAGCAGGCAGACAAGTGTCCAGAGATTCGGGATGATTAGTCACAAGATAGATGATAGTAGCTGAGCTCAAGCCATAAACTTTTACGAGAGCGTTATAGGCTAGCGAGGCCCAGAGAGCGGATCGGGAGGCGAAGAATTTTCCTTGCTGTACACGCTGGCGAGGATCTGACGTGGGAAGATTCCGTGTGAGGAACTCGACTCTTTTCAAGCAGCGACGACAGCTTGGACGAAGAGCGCACGCGTCGGGCCGAAAGGACGTCCCTCGTGTGTTTCCAGGAAAAAAAGCAGGTCAGTGTCCCTTTACTTCGACAAGCCATATAATCGTCTTTGAGCCTTCAGATAGCGGCTGTTTCAAGCAAGATGCCGTTTGCAGTAGGGAATCGCGTGGCGGAGACACCGCTTCGTTTCACGAGGTGGTGCGGTGGAAATCCACAGCTTGCGTCCTATGCATGCTGGGTGGGGCTCGTTCACACCTAGACTCGGAACGCTTTGATCAGCTTCGAAATTTGTGGAAAGAGGATTCCTATTTTGGCTAGTAAATTTTTCCCTACCGATTTATGTGCCGCTAAACACAACGTGGCCAGTGAGTGTCAGACTGGTGATAAGGATTTTCTCAAACCTTAGGTAGGGATTTTTGCTGGACTACTGGAGCGGCCAACTCTAAGGAGGGGAAACAGATTCTGGAAACATTCAGAAGTCCATAAGTCTCAGCACCCCGTTTTTTGAGGTCATCGGCAAAAATAGTGGCTTCCTAAGCCATCCGGACCGAGCCGCTAATGTCGAGGAAATGTGCAATTTCACGCCACGGCATTTGTTCAGTGCTGACGAAGCTGCCGACAATGCTGGCATGAGTATATACCAGCATGGCATGGCGTGGAAACACTTGTGAATGACACGACAGGTAAGGGAAGCCGTTGTGAGCTGGCTTTTTCTCAACCCCACCATGGAACAAATCTTCTTCCGAGAATGTTCACACGTGCGATAACAACTTCAAAACGCCTACAGCGAAAAATGCTCAGCGTAATCGTGAAGCACTCACTAGCGATGATCGGACCACATTTTTTCCCCACCTCTTCCCGTTCCGTACCACAACTGCAAGAACAACCCACAATCACCAATAATGCTAAGATCACTCCTAAACCCCCCGTATAGTGCACCGATTGTTTGCCTTGCACCAATAATTTACTCTCGCCGTGATCACCGCCACTTTCCCGCGCTGTGAACGCCCCACACCGCAATCTCTCGTTTCCTTCGCCGCAATCGCCCTGCGTGAATTCGGCTGTGTGCGTTCAAAGCCTTCCTGACGACGCAAAACAATCATTCTCAAACCGGATATCTCGTGTTGAAAAAAGGACTCACAGAACCATCGGAACGAAATTTGACTGGAAAAGAGGGAGTGAGGGGGGATTTCAAACTTTAAATGACGGGGATATCAGGATCGGAGCAGCAAATCCCTGCTTCCGCAGGCCCGGAGGCGGCTGCGGAGTGCGAGAATGCGACGAGAGACATCACGACGGGGGAGGCGGGGTCAGCGGGGGAAGTGAAAACGGCCGGCGACGAGGAAAAGCCTCTCCTTGGTGTCGCAGGTGCGGCGGAAGCCCCGCCGCCAGCGGCGGAGACCGCCACAGCGGAAGGGGGAGAGAGAGCGGCGGCGCAGGGGGAGGCGGAGACGGGGGCGGTGCCGGCGCCGATTCCGTCTGCTAAGCGGTTGCGGGAGGAGGGGGATGATGTCACTGCTACTGCTGCGGTTGCTGTAGGTACCACTGGCGCAGCGCGCGGCGGTGATGGCGGTGCAGACGAGGCGCGTGTTCCAGGGGAAAAGGCGGGTGGAGCGGCGGCGGTGGCGGTGGAGGAGGTGAAGCCGGGATCTCAGGAGGGAATTGGTGGTCAGGGAAAGAAGAAGAAGGCACGGTATGGAGATGGAAACCGGTGATGGAACGGGGGAAGCGAATGGGGACTTGCGGTCTGGGAAAGGGGGAACGGGGATTTGGGAACCGCGGAATGAGGAATGCGGAGTGGGGAATTGGGAATGGGACATGGGGAATGCGAATAGAGTGCTGTGATGCGGGATGGTATGAAAATGAACGTGGGGTATGTGAACTCGAGCGATGCAGGAATGGTATGAAAATGAACGGACCCCGCTGAGAGGGGATGAAATGGGGAGAGCAGGGTGAAGCAACGCTCACAGCACGCACTTCATCGATGGGTCAACAGTGTTCACCCCTCCCCGCCTCAAGTGCCCACCCCTCTCCCCCCACCCCAACAACCCCCCCACCCCACACCCACCCCTCCCCTTCTTCCCCCTCCTGCCACAGTGTTCCTCCTCATCACACACTTGATTATGGTTTTCCTCCACCACCCACCCCCCCCAGCTCCCACCCGCTTCCCCACCGCAACCAACCTCCCCCCCGCCTTCCCCCTCCGCCTCCCCCTGATCCCCCCGTCTCCCCATTCCCCCCCCTCCAGGCGGCGGCACGTGCAGTGGGACGAGGGCAACCTGGCGTACTGGGAGGAGCACCGCAGGCCGCGGGGGTGCAGAGAGCAGGGATTGCGGGTTTCCCCCATCACCCACTCCCCCAAGGCCCCACCCGATTCCCCACCTGATTCCCCACCCGTCCGTCCCCCTCACCCCAGGCGGCGGCGCGTGCAGTGGGACGAGGGCAACCTGGCGTACTGGGAGGAGCACCGCACGCCGCGGCAGCGCATCGACGAGCCCAAGACGCCCTTCCACTCCCTGGGCCCTGACTCCGAGGAAGGTGTGGGTGCCGCGTGCTGTGGGGGGGAGGAGTGGCGGAGAGGAGTGGGGAAGTGGAATGCGGATGGGAGGGGATTGATGGAGGGGAGCAAGTGAGAGGATTATTGGGGAGGAGATTAAAGGAGAGGGGAGCAATGGTATTTGTGTGTCTGGCTCCTACCCTCGCTTCAGTTCCACTTGTTTCTCCCATTCCACCCACTCCCCTCTCTGTCGCTTCCTCACCCAGAGCACCTTCCTGGAAGCAGCACGGCAGGTGCAGCCACAGCAGGCAGAGGAACGGCAGGAGGGTCAGGAGCAGCAAGAGTGGCGGCGGTGGTGGGAGGGAGCAGTCGAGTGAGCGAGTGGACGTCATCAGAGGACGAAGGGGATCACTCGGAGTTTGAACGTACGTTTGACAGAACAGACCAGCAAGCCAGCATGCCATGAAGCTAGCATGATCTCTCAATGAACAGAGTTGCGAAGATGTCGTTTTTAAGTCTGAGTTGGGTGACTACTAGCAAACAGCTGGACGACCAAGTAACACCCAATGCACCAACCATATTTTGCACGGCATGGCATGGCATGGCACCTGTCGGCCCTGGACAGGATGGATGGAGGAGCAAGGCCACACATACAAAGACCCGGCGACTCTCGCTGCCGCTGTTGCTTCCGGCACTGCTCCTGCCTCCTTGCTTGGTACATGTCCCTGGCCCTCTTCACTCCTGATCCTCTTCAATCTCGGCCTTCACTCTTATTGTCAACTGTCAACCCAAGATTCCTCCCTAGGCTGACATTCTCTTAGGAAATTTCCGAAAGTTGCCCCGTTTCTATCTGCTGGCTCCGTCCTTCTAAGCTTAATCCCCACTGTTACCTGCCCCGTTCCTCCCTCCCTCTCCACCAGATGCGGACATATACTACAGCACAGGGAGGGACAAGGGGAAGGGCAAGGAGCCAATGGGGAGCGTGGCGCCGAGCTTCAGGGAGCACAGGAAGCGGCACTATGATGAGTTCAAGAAGATGAAGCTGCTGCAGGCTGAGAGGGCGGAGGCAGGGGAGGATGTGGGGGATGATGGGAATGGTCTTGTGCGTCAGGGGGTGGAACCTGCTGCTGTTGATCCTGCTGCTGCTGCTGCTGCTGCTAATGGTGACGGTGGTGGTGATGTTACAGATAAACGCTCTGCTGCTGACCTGCATGGTGATGGTGATGTTGCTGATGTTGCTGCTGATGCTGGGGATGATGGTGCAGCAGTTACTGTGGCTGCTGGCAATGAGGAGAGTCAACATAGGGAAGAGGTTGAAACTGTGCAAGGAAGCAAAGTGGATTCGGAGGTGAAGAATACAGGTTGCTGAACTGCCGGTTAATGATTTGCTTCACAAGAATAATACCACTGGTGGTGCAAACTGTAATGAGTTTATTCCAGAAACAAGTTTCTGATTTGTTAATAACACTCGAATACCGGTATGGTTTTTTTATCGTATTTTCCGGACAAGTACGGTAAAACGCCCAGCTAAGGCGTGCCCCCTTCACACTGTACCAGCATCAAGTTTCACGAGGACCAGAACACGAACACCTCACGCAGCCAATCACAGGAGGCTCGGAAGCAGACGATTCGTTTCCCGCGCAGGTGGCGTCAGACTTTCTCAGCTCTGATTTCTGCTGTCGGCTTCTGATTCTGACCCCATGCCCAACCCCGATTGCGCCACGGGTGATGCCTGCCAGTGATTTATGCCCCGCCTTCCCTTCCCATCCCATCTCCTCGGGAACTGGCCACGACAGAATCCAGGTTCTACCCACCGTCACCTTGGCTGTCCAAATGTTGTTGATTGACCAAACGGTCCGTCAGTGTTCCGTCCGTTCAGCGCTCCTAGATTCCGCAGGTTCTACATTCTGACGAGTAATCGACCACCAAATTTGAATCGCGCAGGTTCAGCAGCCCCATAGATCCCTAAGTGCGGAGCAGAGAAAAGATATCTGAGGACGCTTCTGTGTTGTGCTCAAACCAAAGCTTCTGATCCTTTTCATTCAGTTGGTAGCCGTGTACGTGATATTCGCCGTCAGCGGCCTGAGCGTAATTTTCTCAGTTAGCGGGATAGAGAAGCAGTGCACCTCTGTCGCTGCACCCCTGGCGTTGAATTTACTCATTGGCACCAAAAGTCCTTATCGGTTAGAGGCATTTCTTGCCAGATACGGATCAGCTACTTCACCGACCAACAACAGCACGTTCACGAATCTCCCAGCGTTACACATCCCCACGCACTTAACAGCCGGACGTCGGAATACACAATTCAATCTGAAACCACAACACGCGCTGTCGATCTCTTAGACAGCCACCAGTAACTCCCCTACTCCATCTCCGTTTCAACCGTTTTACCGCATCTAGATCTCCTCAAATTCCGCCAGCGAGATCGGTCAAAATGTCATCGGACGCATCGAATCCGTCGCAGTACGTGAAGCTGAAGAAGGAGTACATCACGGACCAACCAGACACGGAGCCCGGGGAGCTCAGCCAACCTGTGGAGGTCCCGCAGGTACGCCATACGCCATACTCTTAGCGATCATTACAGGTGCTTCAAAGTCGTCCCGTGCACCGTGCTCCCTCAGATGCGCCAGTGCCCTTAACTTATCCTTGCTTTGTTGATCCCTGGATGGTCCTGTCCACTGGGTGGGCCCTTCCGGAGGTTCCGATCTCCGTTTATGTGTGCTGCTAATGGTCATACAAGGGGTGTGTAGAAGGGAATGATGAACCAATTCAGGTAATCCAAGGTCTTGCGAATAACCTTCGAGCGGAACACACATAGTTGCATCGTAGTAGCACACGTATTAACCAAGGTCACATGCAAGCACGGATAGATTGGATATTGAATTCTGTCCATCCTGAAAGGCTCTGCGATGCTGTAAATTGCTGTTTGTAAAACTATATCTTTTCCATCTCCCATCTCCACCTAACTTGTACGTTTACTCGCCGTCCGATCCCCGATCCTCCTCTCATAACTACAGCTGGATGTGCAGCGGTGCTTCGAGTGCGGCCAAATCCTGCCGCAGTCGTACGAGCCGCCTCAGGACGAGCCGTGGAGCACGGGCATCTTCGCGTGCTTCAAGGATCAACGCAGCTGTACGTACCGTGCCGTGCGCTTTGTTTCGACCCGTGACGTCAGCGTCCATGCGACATGCGCACTCCTTGATTCGTTCTCGCCGTCCTCCCAGTCATGCTGATCCGCTGTCTCTGTGACGCTCTGGGATCTACCGTCGCTGCCATTCCTGCACCCCTCATCCCCTGTCCTTCCCCCACGAGGTTTCATCGCCTTCAAACCTCTCCGATCCCACTGCCCATGCGCCCCACGCGCCCCACGCGCCCCACGCGCCCCACGCGCCCCACACGCCCCACACGACCCACACGCCCCGCACCAGGTATCCAAGGTTTGTTCTGCCCGTGCGTCCTCTTCGGCAAGAACGTGGAGGCGATACGCGACGACATCCCGTGGTCGGCCGCGTGCGCGTGCCACGTGATGTGCATCGAGGGCGGCGTGGCGCTGGGCACGGCGCTGCTGTGCTGCCCCGCATACATCACGGTGGACCCGCAGACGCTCTTCCTGCTGGGGGAAACGCTCTTCTTCGCCTGGTGGATGTGCGGCATCTACACGGGGTTGTTTCGACAAGAGCTGCAGAAGAAATACCACCTCAAGGTGTGTGTTGGAGGGGAAAGGGGGGGTGGAAGGGGAAAAGGGGAGCGGAGAGGGTAGGAGGCGCGTGGTGGAAAGGGAGGCTTGGTTTGGAAGTTGAGAGGGTTGGGTAGGACTGGGAGGGAAAAGGTCTGGGGTCAGAACGTGGAAAGTGTGGCGTTCAGTGGGGGTAGAGGAATGGACATCGGAGAGCTAGGTTGAATGAACAAGTAGTAACAGATGTTATCGAACCATGATGTCAACACAAGGAGGAGAATCTAAAGAAGAAGCTGGATGACAGTTGAATACTGTAAGCTGGGCCCTTTCTCTGACCTGCCTGCCACCATTGTGACCTCGGTCTTGTGCCATTGTGTTCGACCCTTTTGGACCCATCTCAGGACCCACTTGTACTTTTTATTCCCAGCTTTCCTCCCTCCGTCATCTTTCTCAATTGTTCACCTCTTGTTTCCTCGCATCCTTCACATCTCTCTCACCCCCGGCCATCCCCTCTCTCCTCCTCTCACCCCGTCTCATCCCCCTTCATCGCCCCTCATTCCCTCCCGTTTACTCAGATCCCCCGCATCCCCTCAAATCCCCTCCCTTCCACCATCTTGCTGCCCCCGCCCACCTCCTCTCCGCACTCCCACAGTCCTCCCCTCCCCCACACTCTCACCTCCCTCGTTCCTCCCCTCTGTCCCCATTCCCCCCCTTTTTAACCAACCAGAACGCGCCATGTGATCCGTGTTGCGTGCACTGCATCCTGCACCCATGTGCGCTGTGCCAGGAGCACAGGGAGATGGTGATCCGCCTGCCTGCTCTTGACGAGGGGGTCAGCCTTAACCCACCACCACAGCAAGAAATGGCTGCGGTGGGTGGTGATGCTGCTGCTGCAGCACCCAATGGGTCAGGCGAGATTGCCAGGGAGAGCTAACGACTGTTGGGAGAGGGAGAAACGAACAAGGGGTGTCGAATTTTGAGAGCAAGAGTGGAATTTGGAGAGCTAGAGTGGAATTTGGAGATCAAGAGTGGAATTGGAGAAACCAGGGATGGGAACGGGGTTGGGAGACGGAGCGTTCGTGATTGGTGGATAGCTGCTATAGACACGTGTACACTACGTCAGATGTTTTTGGCTGAGCATTATGGCGCTAGCATTATTCATCCCATTTACTGGGTTGCATTTCAGTTTGAATCCATTGCCTGATCTTGTTAAGTGGATGTTAGCTTATTCATGTTGTAGTACCTACCATAGGTTCTGGAAGACATGGACACAAATCATGATTCGCGACAGTCTTTCAAAGCCACCCCAAGTGACACAAACAGATCTACACTGCACAGGCAAGTGCAATGCAGACATTTACAGCAGAGTTGGTGCTGGTTAGGAACATAGCACCCCTTCAATGCGAGCCTAAACCATGGCTTCACCTAAAATATACAGAGCAATCCTTGAATGCACCAATCGTTCACCCACAACAGTGCGGCTTCTGCCCAGACCAGACTCCAACAGAACAACACGCATTGCTTTGTTACCATTCCGTATGTACATTCCAAGAATCCAATTCACCCATTGCATTGACTGCCGCACTAAACATACCGTAACCCACTTCGCAGCACCCCCAAATGCTACTGCTGCTTCTCCGATCCGAGCACTTCAACGTTCATCACCTATACTCGGTAGCAGAGTACGTATGTGTACTTAGTACAGTACCAACATCCACTGGACTGGAACCAAGTGCTCCGATACCACACCGCTTGATAACAGACCAATCAGTACCACCATGCACCCTATTGTGCAGCTTTCCTCTTGCGATCAAGCCCACCAGCCTGCCTCCCAGTGGCATGCGTCTCAGCCCCGATTTGCAGCAGAAAGCACAGACACGAGTCCAGGTCCTCGCCAAATAAGCTGACAGCCTGCGCCACGGCTGTTTCAAAAAACCCCATGGACAGAAGAATGCTGGCACATGTTGGGTGCCCTGTCGACGTGTTACTCTCTTGCTGGTTACAACCGCTGCTGTTGCTAATAGGCCTCCATTCACCATTGTTGTTGTTGCTACTGGTGCCGAATTCCGCCCTGCTGGTGCTGCTGCTGCTGCTGCCGCCATTGCTGCCACTGCCCAAACTGCTGCTACTGATGCTGCTGCTGCAGTCGTTGCTGCAACCAGGGCCTGCTGTCGCGCATGCACCAGCAGCAACAGGTATGGTGCCGGAGGGAAGGTCTTTATCAGGGTGGTGGGCAGGTGGAAATGGAACGGACGGGCTGCTAGTGCTGCCGCTGCTGGTGACGCCAGTGGTGGTGGCGGTGCTGGGATTGTTGGTAGGTGAAGCGGAGTAGGGAGGATGAGTAGGCGCCAGGTCAGATGGAGGAGAGGGAGAGCGAGAGCGGGTGGAGGGAGTGGAGGCAACTTTACCAGCTGCTACTGCTGCTTCTGCTGCACCTGCTGCTGCATTCCGGCCTGCAATACAGAGAGGCACACTCTACAGAAATTACTGAATATCATTGGGATTTGGACAGATTCAAAACATAAACCGCAGAGAGAGTGCAGCATGGAGGCACGCTTCCTGGCAAAATAGACAAGGAGAAACAAACTCTACTGGAAACCCGTCACCAGGCTGCAAGCACAAGGCACTTACCGCAGGCAGCAGCAGCAGAAGGTCGGAGGGAGGAGGAGGAGGACGACGATGATGATGGGAATTGCAGTTCAGAGGAAGAAGAAAGGATGAACGTGCGGGCAGCAGGAGCAGTCAGAGCACTGGGGGCTGGTGGAGGATGGAATGGAACCGGGCGAAGCGGCCGAACGTAACCTGGTGAGTATACAGCAACGCCCCTCTGCTGCTGCTGCTGCTGCTGCTGCTGCCGTTGCACGTACTCCCTATAGCTGGCCTCCATAACAGCGAGCTCGAGAGCCTCTTCTGTGAGCTGGCGGTCGGAGCACGCCTGTGCCTCGCACACCAGTGCCTGCTCCACCACTGCATCCTGCTGCTCCTGCATCGCCTGCTTCACTGCAGATGGCGGCACCTGCCCGCCCTGCTGTGGTGCGGTTAGGTGCAAATGTAGGCTTGGAGGCTTGGTGTGGATTGGGATGTGGTGAGGTGAGGCATGGTGCAGAACGTTTTGAAAGGAACAGTTTTTTGAAAGCACCAGCTGCAACACATTAACCATGTGAATCTTGTTCAGGGGCCTGCTATGAACGAGCTTTCCCTTACAGGTGCAACACATGCAGGCATGCACAATTCATACAGCCTCCCTTAACACGAATACCACTCCCACTGCCCAGCCACACTCCCAAAACCCCTTTATCTGTCACCCCTCCCTTCTTCCCTTCCATCCCTTCGATCCATCCACCTTCTCCCCAACCTCTCTCTAGCAGGCTCACCTGCAGCGCGCTGAGCCCCAGCCCCACGCCAGTGTTGGGCTGAGAGGGGTCCACAAGCAAGTTGTAGTGGCGGCGCCGGTGGTATGACAAACGGATGGGCGGCAGCGACTTTTTGAGAATTCTCAAAAGCTCACCTGCAGCGCGCTGAGCCCCAGCCCCACGCCGGTGTTGGGCTGAGAGGGGTTGACGAGCGAGTTGTAGTGGCGGCGCCGGTGGTATGACAAACGGATGGGCGGCAGCGACGAGTCGTACGCTGTCTGGAAGATGTTGACTGGCTCTGTGATGGGGGTGGGAGATGGGGAATGGGAGGGACGGGAACGGGGGGATGGGAGATGCAGGATGGGTGAAGGAGAACGGGGAAGGGGAGTGGGGGAAGAGGCGCAGAGGGAGGGGGAACAGAGGAAAGGGACGAAGGATACACACCCAAATACCCCAGCAACAACAGCCACCCACACCCATCCAACAGCCCCACAAGAACTACCCACAAGCACAACAGCTACCAGCCACGGACCTGCGGAGTAGCGGAAGATGTGACTTTTGAGTCAACTCGAAACTCAAGCACAACAGGCACCAGGCACGGACCTGTGGAGTAGCAGAAGATGTGGATGGGGCGGTTGAAGAGCTCCGCTAGAGCTTGCAGCTCGAGGTTGTTACCATGCACCTGCGAGTGAACACACGCAGGCATGCATGCATGCATGCACGCACGCCACACACCACATGCCAACAGCAGTCCAGGTGGACAGCTCATCAGACCATAGGACCAAGTCGTCACCCTCTTCCTTCCCGTACAATAGTGTGAGTACCTCTCAGTCTAGCATCTACTCTAAAAACTGACACGTTCAAACTACATCTTCCCTCCCTATCCACGTCTTCAGCCTTCGCTCCCCCCCCTCAAGGCCACGCCTCGCTCCCTCTCCTCCCCGCGTACCCACTTCTCACCCAGTGCACGCACCTTATCGCGCCTCTTCCGTTTGCAGTAGGCGCTGAAGCTCTCTGTCACGAACTGGCTGAAATGGTCCCGCTCCTTCTCCTGCCGGGCAGAACCGAAGAGTGCGGGATGGGGAGGGGTGGAGAGCGGAACACATGCACTCTACTTAAGGTGAACTCCCGAGGGTACAATAGACGTGATTCCAGGTGAGTTTTCTCTGGTTTGAGGATTTATAGAAGGTGACATAGGGGACGTGATTTCCAAAGGAATGCAGCATAGCGATGCAAAGACAACAATGCATGCATGCACACACACACACACACACACACACACACACACACACACACGCACGCACGCGCGCGCGCGCACGCACGCACCCACGCACACACACACACACACGCACACGCACACCCACACGCGCACACACACGCACGCACACACACACACACACACACACACACACACACACACACAAACACAAACACACCGCCACAAACGCAACACCATGTACTCACGTCACGGCAGAGAGGTGCCGGAGGTTGCAGTCGCACCCAACCCCCGCCCGCACACACCCACCAAACCTTCCAACCCCCTACACACACCCACACACCCACCATCCCCCACACACCCACCATGTAGTCAAGGCACAGGTGGCGGAGGTCGCGATGAAAGGCAGCATCCCCCAGCACCTGGTGGGCCACGGCGCGGAACAAGCAGTTGCCGTCCGCTGCCATGCGGTGCACGCGCAGGTGGCACTCCCGCCACACCCGCGCCTCAAACGCCCGCTCCTCCTCCGCCTCCTCTGCCTCCCCGCCGGCCCCTTCCCCGCCCCTGTCTCCACACTGCTGAGTCTGCACCCGCTGGTGATGTTGCTGCTGGTGCTTGCTGTGTGGTGGAAGCTGCCGGAACGATAAAGAGGGGTGTTAGTCAATGGGGGTTTGGAGTTGGGAGGAAGGAACACTGAGAGACGGCTGGGCGAGGCGAGCGTGGGGGATGAGATTAGGAAAGAGTGACTCGACTTTTGAGGCGCCTCAAGAGGCGAGAGTGGAGGATGAGATGAGGAAAGACCGACTCTTTGTCTCCAAGAGTAGAAAGAATTTGCGGCAGAAAGAGCGAGAGAAAGAGAGATGGAGGAGTGTGGGGGTTGAACGTAGGAGCTGCAATGAGACAGGGTGTGTTAGAGGAAACTGATTTCAATCGAAGGTGCGAACAGCTGATGGGAAAGAGAAGACGGGGAAAAGCGGTGACGGGTGCGAGGGAAGGCCAGAAAAATCAAGAAGTACGAGAATCACCTGCATGCCCCTTGGCGCAGCAGCAGCAGCAGAAACAGGCACAGGTGGTGCAGGCGCAATCGCAGGCAATAGGGAGCCGTACTCGTCTGCACTGTTGTACCCCCTCTCCTCACTGCCCTCCGACCGAGGGCTGCTGGGGGACATGGCACGCGGAGGGGACGACACTGCTGCTGCTGCTGCTGCTGCTTCTGCTGCCGTGGGTGATGCTGATGATGGTGCTAGTAACGAGGATGGGGAGGGGGAAGAGATCGCTGATATCACATCACCACATGCTGTCGCTGCTGCTGCTGCTGCTGCTGCTGCTGCTGCTGCCACGTCTGCTGCTTCACCGCCGCTCGCACCAGCACTGCCCCCCCCACTTGTGCTCCGGTTAAGCAACACACACAAACCTGATTCATGTGCAGAAGCACGCACGGGCCTCTGTGAGGCTGAAGCAGGGGCGGAGTGATGCAGCGCAGATGAATCCCTAGCCAGCCCGGCAGCACAAGAAGCAACGTGCTTGTCAGTGTCGCTGCAGTGTGGTGGCTCCTGGCTCTGATTCTGGTTCTGGTTCTGGTTCTGGTTCTGGTTCTGGTTCTGGTTCTGGTTCTGGTTCTGGTTCTGGTTCTGGTTCTGGTTCTGGTTCTGGTTCTGGTTCTGGTTCTGGTTCTGGTTCTGGTTCTGGTTCTGGTTCTGGTTCTGATTCTGGTTCTGGTTCTGGTTCTGGTTCTGGTTCTGGTTCTGGTTCTGGTTCTGGTTCTGGTTCTGATTCTGGTTCTGGTTCTGGTTCTGGTTCTGGTTCTGGTTCTGGTTCTGGTTCTGGTTCTGGTTCCTGTCAGCAAGGTGAGCTGCACAGGCAGTAATGCCTGATTGTTTCCATTCATCAAACACAGTCTCTTGAACTGCCACGCCCCTTCCCTCGCCCTCTCCAACGCTGCCACTCCTGTCATCGCCTTCGCCTCTCCATCCATCCTCTGCCCGACTTCCCGCGCCTGATAATGCTGCTGCCGTTGCTTCCGTTGATGCTGCTATTTCTGCCGCTGATGCTGTTACTTCTGCTTCTGATGTCGTCCCTTTTGCTGCTTCTGCAACTGCTGGTGGTGCTGCTGCTCCCGCTGCTGCTGTTACCTCTGCTGCTGGCGCTGCTGCTGCTGCTGCTGCTGCTGCTGAAGCCGCTTCTTCTTCTGACGCTGCTGTTGCTGCTGCAGCTTCCGCTGCAACCCTCCCCCTCTCCCCAAATCCCTCTTCTTCGGTAGCATTGCTTGTGTTGCTGTTGCTTCTGCTGCTGCTGCTGCTGACGTGGGTGCGGATGGGATGCTGTAGCCCCGACACAAGTTGCAGCATGCGACTGTACGCTGCCGCCACGTCAGAATCGTCTGACACGTGGGAAACTCCCACCTCCACATCAGCGTTTGCTGCTCCATAGTTCCCAGACCAGACAGCATCCTCCCGCCCTGCATGAGACAGCTCGTGTCCTTCCTTTTTCTCCTTCCCCTTCTCTCCCTCCACTCTCTCCTCTCCCTCTCCTCCCACCTCCTTTCTTCCCTCTCCCTCCTCCTCCCCCTTCCCCTCTCTCCATTTTCTACTACCCCCCGTCACCCCAACCGCACCACTGCGCTCCCGCCGCGCACTCACGCCAATCGCCGTTTCCGTTTCGACCACTCCTCTATCCGCCGCTTTCCCTCTCCCGCCGCTTGCTCCTTGTTCGCCATCGACTTTATCATCTACCGCTGCTTCTTGCTTCCCTCGCCCCGACTCCGCGGCAGCACCGGTTCGCGAGTGTGAGTGGTCATGCGACTGCGGCTGCGACTGTGCCTGCGACAAGGACGACGACGAGCTGGCAACCCGGCCCCCTGCGACATCTCCTCCCTCTCGGACTGCTGTCGTGCGACTGTCTAAATCGCGCGAATCCGCAACTCGAACCAATCCCTGTGATAGTGTCGCCGAGTTGGTCGGCGGCCCGCCTGCGACCGGGAAAACTAATTCGCCAACCGCCTGCGACGGCTCAGGGTGACCCCCTGTGTGCGACGACGTTCCGGCGACGGCAGACCCCCTGACGACGCCTATGCCGCTAGTACCTGCAGCGTTCCCCGCGGCACCGGTAGCGGCGGCTGCGGCGGCAGCTGCGGCGGCGGCTGAGGCGGCGGCTGCGGCAGCTGCAGCGGGCGGAGGGCGGCCATGGGAATTGCGGGGCCGGATAATCCGGGTCATATGGATCACGCAGACCGTTCCGACGAATCTCGTGTGCGCGCGCGGGAAAGTGCGGAGGGGGCACGCAACCAAACACAAGTGGTTGACGACGGACTAACACACACCACACAGAAACAGTGTAAATTCGAGTGCTGCTGGTATATATGTGCGAAATGAATGGCTCTATGTCGTGTCGTGTCGAACCCCGGATGGAAGTACTATCTATGCTGGTGGTGTGGCATGAATGGCACACCGCAATATCGTGCTGAAACTCACTCAACCTATCTGGAGGAACTACCCTGTGGAAAGGGTGCAACACGCAACCTCTGCGAGCGGCGAAACGTAGAGCACGTGTGAAGCGTTGATTGGGCCGCCTTCTCTCGTTCGGGGGTCGTCGAGCGTTTCACAATTCGTTATGTCAGTCGTCGCACACACACTGAAGGGAGGTACCATACAAGAGTTAATGGTCCTATGTAAGGAAAATTCCTTTTCCTTAGTTCGCATCCCTGCTCAACACGTACATCACTATAGCACCAGAGTCAGCACCGTTACCACTCGCAACCCTCGCATCGACAATCCGCCCGCCACCTTCGCACGTCGCATCCCGACCTCACGGCTCGGCGAGTAACCCGCGCTCCGGGCCTCCGCTTCGACACTTTTCCCAACCTCAGTCACAGGCCCGTCGCGCGACAACCACAGTCCATTACCGTTACCACTGTAGTTTCGCTATATATTCTTCGCTCATGCCTTCGCTTATTGTACTCTTGCTTCGATAGTGCAACTCTCGTTCGTTCACTCAATTGCACTCGTAACACTTGGTATTCAGAGCCTACGATCTCTTCTCGGACCGCACCCACACCTTCGCTTCCCCACTATCTCAATTTTGGGGGGGGGGGGTAGACGTCTCTCAGCGACACAGCACCGCCGCTCGTAGTGCTCTCTCGTAAGCACGCACGGCCATGACCGAGGCTCTCGCTGAGCTCGCCCGACACCCCCGCCATGGCCGAATTCACACTCGCCACATTGACGCAGGAGCAGCTCGACCGTCTGGTGCGCCAACTTGAAGATTCGGCGCTCGAAATTGCGACGCTCACGGCGGAACGTGACTCCGCGCGTTAGCAATCGACGATGAACACTCCAGCGCCACCACACGCACCGACAAATGCATCTGCACAATCGGACGAGCCGATCGTCATCTTGTCAGAATATGTTGTTTGTGTAGCCTGCAGTGGGGTACTCAATAGTGAGTACAGCCCCTTAGGGTTTGCTATTTGTATCCTGCTGCTTGCTAGTTCAATCACTCCTTCTCAATTCTGTTCCTGCACACAATCCTAGCTCGTACTTGGCGCCTCCTTTCGTAGTCCTACTGTGGCCTAGGCTACTAAGCCTAGGCCGTACTCCTACTACTTCTGATATGGTATCAGAGGGCGGCATGTCTGCCGCCTTCCTGTGTATGGGCCCACCACCCGCTTCCGCTGCCGTACTGTCCGCCGCGCGCCCCGTGGTGCGCGGCGCCGAAATTAGGGTTTCTGCCCGCCGCGCGCTCGGGACGCGTGGCGGCTTACCCCTCCGTGGCGCCCGTCGTGGCGCCCGTCGTTTCTACTGCTACCGGGGGCCCGCGCGGCCTCACCTCCCGTCGCCCGTCGTGGCGACCACGGGGGGCTCGCGCGCGGTCCCCTCCCGTCGTCCGTCGTGGCGACCACGGGGGCCCGCGCGGCCTCCCCTCCCGTCGTCCGTCGTGGCGACCACGGGGGCCCGCGCGGCCTCCCCTCCCGTCGTCCGTCGTGGCGACCAAGGGGGCCCGCGCGCGGTCCCCTCTCGTCGCCCGTCGTGGCGACCACGGGGGCCGCGCGGCCTCCCCTTCCCGTCGCCCGTCGTGGCGCTCCGGGGGGGCCCGCGCGGCGCCCTTTTCGTCGCCCGTCGTGGCGACCACGGGGGCCGCGCGGCCTCCCCTTCCCGTCGCCCGTCGTGGCGCTCCGGGGGGGCCCGCGCGGCGCCCTTCCCGTCGCCCGTCGCGGCGGCTCTGGGGGCCCGCGCGGCGCCCTTCCCGTCGCCCGTCGCGGCGGCCCTGGGGGGGCCGCGCGGCTCCCTTTCTCGTCGGCCGTCGGGGCGCCCTGGGGGCCGCGTTCTTCCCCCCCTGTCCTCCTACCTTCACCTGCAGCGGCCGCCCCTGGAGCCGCCCCTGGAGCAGCCCGCACCTGCAGCAGCCGCCCCTGGAGCAGCCCGTGCCTGCAGCAGCCGCCCCTGGAGCAGCCCGCACCTGCAGCAGCCGCCCCTGGAGCAGCCCGCACCTGCAGCAGCCGCCCCTGGAGCAGCCCGTGCCTGCAGCAGCCGCCCCTGGAGCAGCCCGCACCTGCAGCAGCCGCCCCTGGAGCAGCCCGCACCTGCAGCAGCCCGCGGCCCGTCCCTACAGCCCCCCCCCCCCCCCCCCCCCCCCCCCCCCCCCCCGTGCTGCCCATTGCTCCCAATCCGCCGTACGTTCCGCGGTGGTGGGGGTGTGGGGTGGCGAGCATGGGGGTGACCGGTGTGGGTAACCTGAAGCTCCTCCTCCTCCTCCGTCTCCCACTGCTGCAGCTGCCGCTGAGGGGGGTGGGTGTGTGGGAGCCGAGGGTTTAGGGTTTAAGGGGGGTGCCGTGGGAGTGGAGCTAGGGTTTCAGCAGGGGGTGTGTGAGAGGGGTGTGGGACGGTCGGGGGAGGTTGAGTGGAGGCTGCTGTCTTGTCGTCCGCAGCACCTGTAGTCCGGGGCGCACTGTCCTGGTAGCTCAGAGAGCCTGCTGCACCTGTTGCCCGTGGGTCCGTTGCTCCTGCCGCTCGTCGCAGCCGCAGAGCCTGTTACTCCTGTATTCCGGGACGCACTGTCTCGGTAGCCACTGAGAGCCTGCTGCACCAGTCGCCCGTGGGTCCGTTGCTTCTGCCGCTCGTCGTAGCCGCAGAGCCAGTTACTCCAGTATTCCGGGGCGCTCTGTCTCGGTAGCCACTGTGTCAGCCGCCAGTGTGTCAGCCGCTTCTGTTGCCCGTGTGTCTGCAGCTTCAGTCGTCGCCTCCCATCTTCTCTCCTTTCATAGTCCCTCCTCCTCCTCACTTGCCCTCTGTGATAGCCTCTAGCTTTGCTGATAATTATGAACCATTGCTATGACTGCTCATTGTGCTGATTACACCCCACTTTGGCTATGGGGGTGTGTCAGAATATGTTGTTTGTGTAGCCTGCAGTGGGGTACTCAATAGTGAGTACAGCCCCTTAGGGTTTGCTATTTGTATCCTGCTGCTTGCTAGTTCAATCACTCCTTCTCAATTCTGTTCCTGCACACAATCCTAGCTCGTACTTGGCGCCTCCTTTCGTAGTCCTACTGTGGCCTAGGCTACTAAGCCTAGGCCGTACTCCTACTATATCTGACACATCTCGTCCGGCACACCAACACAAAACAACAGCGTGGGACAGCGCTCAGGCGCAGCCAGCGATGGCGCCGCCCAGCCGATGCCTGGCATGGGAGGAAACAGGGTCGCACCAAGCCCGCGGGAGCCTCGCAAAGCCCGTCGGCACGTGGAGTTCGCGGCGACAAGTGGCGAGCAGGCCATTATGGCACCAATGCCACTCAAGCCGCAACGCCCGCCCTGCTTCGACCCGAGCCAGCGTGGAGGTCCGACGGTTCAATCGTGGGTCTTCACGATGAACGTCTTCTTCGACGCGAATTACGTCGAGTCGGACGCAGCGAAGATTCGATATGCCGTTTCGCTGCTAAGGGGCCCCGCCATGGACTGGTGGCGAGTCATCGTGACGTCGCGACGCGCCTACGAGCCACCGTCGCAAGAGGAAGGGCCCACGGGCCCAGCTGTCACCTGGAGTTCATTCTGCGAGACCGCCCAATACAGCACGTGGGATGCGTGGTGCGCAGGGCTTCGGGCGCGCTTCGAGCCGATCGCGGCTTCTATTTCGGCGCGTCAGAGATTGCGCACTTGGCGGCAGCTCGGATCGGTTCAAGACTATACGAGTGGTTTTCTCGCATTATGCGAGCAAGTCGGCTACATGCACGAAGCGGAGCGGGTGGAACGTTACGTCGGAGGGCTGAAGCCGGACATCTCGCACGAAATCATGCTACGCGGGCTCTCGAACTTCAACGAGATTCTCGCGCTCGCCGAGAAAATCGACATTTTACGCCGTCCGAGACCGGGGTCCTACTATGGACATCGTCCTCGGGGACCGATCGAGCACGCCACTGTACACGCTGTTGCGACGAATGCAGCTGCCGCGCCGTTTAAGGGGCGCTGCTTTGCTTGCAACAGGCCGGGCCATCGCAAGAGTGAATGCCCAGAAGAGCTAAGGCGCCGGGGAGCAGAGCAGGGGAGAAAGTCTCCAAGGCAGGGAAACGCCAGCAGTCAGTAGGAATCGGGCCAACTACTTGTGAAAGAATGAGGAATGAAGAAGAGAGTGTTGCACTAGCAGCAGTTGGCATACATATAGGAAACCCCAATTGGGTTGTACTCGCTATAGAGTACCCCACTGCAGGCTAGACAATTATAACATTCTGACACTACTGACGAGACTGCCTGCTCGCCCAACCCCACCGACCCTCACCGAGTCACAGTACCGATTCATGCTATCGATCGGACTCGGACGAATAAGGAGGGTACAGCGACGGATTGCCCAGTACTGATCCACGGGAAAATACAGGGAGCAGCAGTGAAGATTTTTATCGACGGAGGAGCAAGCCACAGTTTAGTTAATACCGCAACCGCACGAAAACTGCAGCTGACACTTAGCCGTTGTTTACCGGAGATAGACGCACGCTTAGTCGACGGCACGCCACTGGCCATACGGGAAAAGGTAGAGAGAGTCAAAGTCCGCTGCGGGGGAAATTTCGGGTTTACACAGGAAATGCTCGCAACGACACTGGATGGGCACGATATTTTACTGGGACGTGATTGGCTGCGACGGTATAACCCGCGAATTGACTGGACGACGGGTAGTTGCGCTGTGCGAAGTAGTGGTAACTGGGTCGAGCTACCTCGCTGGCAGTCGCCCGAGTCTTCAACGGTACACGTCAACGCATTCACAATGAAACGGGCTGTCGCTGCTGGAGCTGAAGTGTACGCAGTAGACATCGCAGCAGTAGAGGAAGCAGAGCAGCCGAGTGATTTCAAGAAACTGCTGGCAGCCGTACTGCCCGAATTACAGGAACTGTTGAAACGATACCCCGGGATTTTCCCCGACGACTTACCGGAAGGACTGCCACCTCAGCGAGCACATGACCACCGAATCGAATTAGAACCGGGGGCACAACCAACCGTACAGCGCCAGTTCAGACTGACACAGCCCGAGCTCGACGAACTAAGGAAGCAGTTAGATTACCTGTTAGAGAAAAAATTCATCCGACCGAGCTCGTCACCGTTCGCCGCACCGATACTGTTCACGCCGAAAAAAGACGGGGGTTTTCACATGTGTATAGACTACAAAGCACTTAACAGGGTAACAGTCAAGTCGCGGTACCCCATTCCCCGCGCCGACGAACTGATCGACCAACTGCGAACAGCACGTGTTTTTTCAAAAAGAGATTTACGGGGAGGTTACCATCAGATTAGGGTCGAACCATCAGACTGCGCCAAAATAGCTTTCGGGACTAGGTACGGGTCGTTCGAGTACACTGTGATGCCATTCGGGCTGACCAACGCACCGGCGACTTTTCAGATGACCATGAACGAGGCATTTAGGCCGCTCTTGGATAAATGTGTAATAGTTTACCTCGACGACATCCTAGTTTACAGCCGGGATAAGCAGCAGCACTTAGCAGATCTGGAAGCAGTGTTTAAGGTTTTTGATGAGCACAGATTACTGACCAAGGGTTCCAAGTGCGAGTTCTCTTAGGATAGGTTAGAATTCTTGGGGCACGTTATTTCGGAGGCTGGAGTTGAAATCGACCCAAAGAAGCTGGATACGGTAAAAGCGTGGCATCCCCCGACGAACATCACGGAGCTGCAGAGCTTTTTAGGGTTCGTTAATTATGTGTGTCGGTTCGTCCCCGATATGGCACGGTTAACTGCCCCACTGACGGATTTACTGCGGAAGGGGGTCGCTTTTACGTGGGGGGAGAAAGAGCATGCTGCCTTCTCTGCCCTGAAAACTGTTCTCTGTTCACCGCCCGTCCTGCGCATCGCCGACCCACACCGCCCATTCGAAGTAGTTACCGACGCAAGCGATATCGCCATCGGAACCGTACTGCTACAGGATTTCGGCAATGGCCTACAGCCTATCGCATACGAGTCACGAAAACTGCATCCGCCCGAGAAAAATTACCCGATACACGACCGCGAAATGCTTGCGATCGTGCACGCGTTCAAAGTATGGCGCTGTTACTTGACTGGCGCGGACGTGACAGTACGGACAGACCATAAATCACTACAGTACCTTCGCGCACAGCCACACCTCAACCCGCGACAGATTCGCTGGCTCGACTTCCTCGAGTCCAATTTTCACTACACGGTCACTTACAAAAAGGGAGCCTCGAACATCGCCGACGCACTGACCCGCCCCACTGCCCAGATCCACGCAATACTACTCGCCCAGACAAGCCCGCTACTGACAGGCCTATTCACCCACGGGTACCAAACGGATCCATTCTTCACAGGAGGAAATTCGCAACAGTTCGCAGCAGCAAGGGGAGTCTATTACGTAAAAACCGGGACTGACCGCATTTGGGTGCCTGGGTATACACTGCTACGCGAATTACTGTTACAGGAGGCACACGACGGAGTTACCACGGGGCATTTCGGAGTAGAAAAAACACGGCAGCAGCTGCAGCGGTATTATTTACTGGCCCGAAATGTTGACCGACGTACAACGACACGTGGCATCGTGTCCCACTTGTCAACTCATGAAATCATCACGACAGCGGCCGGCGGGACAGTTGCAGCCGATACCACCCCCAGAGCGTGCTTGGCAGCAGGTGACGATGGACTAAGTCACGGGGTTACCAGCCGGGGCGAGTGGGAACGACGCGATCCTGGTCGTCGTCGATCGACTGACGAAAATGGCACATTTCGCAACCTGCACAAAATCAATCACAGCCGAAGAAACAACACGCCTCTTCATCTCCACCGTCGTTCGACTGCACGGGATACCAGCCGCGATCATCAGCGACCGCGACACGAAATTCGCCAGCAACTTCTGGCGGAACCTGTGGCAGCAGTTCGGCACGCGACTGCAATTCAGTTCATCATACCACCTCGAAACCGACGGACAGACAGAACGGACAAATCAGACCATGGAACAGCTCATCAGGGCCACGTGTGACGACCCGACCACGTGGGAACAGCAACTGCCACTAATCGAATTCGCGTACAACAACTCGCCATCCGACACGACCCAACAGTCACCATTTTACCTAAACTACGGACAAGACCCGACAGTACCCATGACCCCGAATCCCGACAACCCAGTACCACGAGCACAACAGTTCGCCGAAATATTACAAGCAGCACGGACCCGGGCAGCAGACGCAATAAAAAAATCGAACATCATCGCTAAACGCAACGCCGACCGCCACCGCAGACTTGTCACTTACCAACCCGACGACTTAGTTTTACTTGACACTCAGAACCTCCGACTGCCCATCACCCCGAAACTCCGCCCCCGATACTGCGGGCCATTTCGCATAAGCCACATGCTTACACCCGTCACCGCCCACCTCCTCCTCCCTGCTGACTGGTACGTCAGCCCCTCATTCCACGTCAGCCTGCTTCGCCCTTACGTCCCGTCCACGAGCCAACTGCCACGCAATCGCCCAGCCAGCATGACCAGACCACCAACTGAACCAATCATCACCCCCGAGAAAATCCTGAGTCACAGAGTTCGCGACCCTCGAGGAGCCCGAAGGATCGAGTTCTTACTCCGCTGGAAGGACCGTACACCCACCGAAGACAATTGGGTTCCCCTGGACAGAATCGAAAATCACCCCGTCCTCACCGAGTATCTGCGCAGCCGAAATTTAAGGGATGTACCTGCACTTTCGTAAGGAGGACCTCCTTAAGGGGGGGGGTAGTGTAAGGAAAATTCCTTTTCCTTACTTCGCATCCCTGCTCAACGCGTACATCACTGTAGCACCACAGTCAGCACCGTTACCACTCGCAACCCTCGCATCGACAATCCGCCCGCCACCTTCGCACGTCGCATCCCGACCTCACGGCTCGGCGAGTAACCCGCGCTCCGGGCCTCCGCTTCGACACTTTTCCCAACCTCAGTCCCAGGCCCGTCGCGCGACAACCACAGTCCACTACCGTTACCACTGTAGTTTCGCTATATATTCTTCGCTTATTGTACTCTTGCTTCGATAGTGCAACTCTCGTTCGTTCACTCAATTGCACTCGTAACATCCTACCTTATCACTGGCAACACCTCACCCAGAATCACAACATGGGCATTTGATTAATCCTGAACAAAAGCAAGCCAAAAAAGAAATCATGCCTTCTGCCTTGTGCTTCCAGCCCACACCCAATCACCCACCCTTCAACATAACTCAACCAAGTGTGTAGTGCCCACACAATATAAACCCTATGATCACGCCCCTTCCACTTCTCTACTCTTCTCCTAACCCCCCACCTCGCCTCCCACTTCTTCCGCCATGCAGCGCATCGCATGACTATCGTAGTTAGTGCAGCCATGCAAGACTGTGGCAGGGCAGGGCCGCATCCTGCCTACCACACCACCGCCCCACCATCGCAACATGTCTTTCTTCCCGTTTCATCCCCGGCTGGTTGTCAGCTTGACGTTGACCCCTCCCCTCCAGCCGCCCATCCTCAGTTCGCCGGCGGTGTTGCAAACGCCACACGGCGCACCGACACTTCACCACCATCCCCACCGGCCGCCTCCGCACCACCCTCTCCACTCCCACTCTCCTTCTTCCTCCCGCCCTTCCCCGACTTCCCCCCCTTCCTCCCACCCTTCCTCCCGCTCCTCCCTCCCCCCACGTTCTCCCCGTGAATACTCGCAACAGTGGTCCGCGCAGCGTCCCGGCCAAACGCCTCCATATCGACCACCATAGGCGCGGGCTCATAGTGCCGCAGCCACGTGTCCTGGCTCGCCTTGATCGCCAGAATGTAATAAGCAACCATGAGAACGGCGGAGAACGCAGCAAACACAGCTGCAGAGATGAAGACGGCCTCATTGACGGTGCTGCAGTACATGATGGTGTTGATGTCGGTGGAGTACGGTACAGAGGAGATGTGGAACGAGTTCTCCACGGCCGCTGCGATCAGGAGCCCTTCGGATGCAAGGAAGAAGAGGCTGCAGGGAGGGTGGGATGGGAGGGCGTGCGGATGTAGATGTGTGGCCGTGAGGGGGAATGGGATGATGGGAAAAGGCGGAGACGGGGGAAGAGCGCGGGGGGGAGGCTGGTTGGAAGGGGAAAAGAGACATGCGATTGAGAGGGAGAAGGGCGGCCGAGGAGGGGGGCAGGAGTGGACGTCTGCTGGGATGGGGAGTGATGAGAGGTAGGGATGCAAGAAAGCCACGCGGAAGGAGATAGACAGGCAGCGTGGGGAAACCCAACTTCGGCAATAGAAGGAGAGGACGGGAGCTGACTGGAACAGGAAAGGGAGAAGGGGGAAGTGAAATGCATTGGGTGGGTGGGTGGGAAGGGTACTCCTGCAAGCGCATTTGGGTAAGAGCACAAGGGCGCGCTCATATGGACGGGCAGCAAGCAGCAGCCAGAGGTCCAATGATTGGCGCGAATCCCCTTCCTCCCATCCCCATCCCCCAAACCTTCCACAAAGCATCCTCAAACCACCCGTCCTCCCAGCAATCTCCCTTCTCCCCTCCCCCTCCACCTCCCCCCGCGACTGACATGTTGAACACCAGCAGGGCGAGCTGCAGGTGGGAGCGGCGGCCCACAGTGGGTGCCATCTCCCCGCGCCCCACGTGGCGTGTGAACAGCGGCCGAGCCCACGTGAACCCGCCCGTCAGCAGAGTGAACGCCTGGGGTGGAGCGCGGACGAGGAGACGGGGAGAGAATGGATTTGGGGGGGGTTGGGAAGGGGGAAGAGGGGGTGGGAAAGGGGGGGAGCGAGGGGGGAGAGGGGGTGAGGGGGGGTCGGTGGTTTGGGCAAGGATGCCTCTTTTCTTGCTTCATTCTCCTTTTTGGGAAGGGCTGCCGCGCGCGTGGGCAGTGTAACGCAACGCAACGCAACGTGCGGGACGGTAAGGGTAGGGAAGGGAAAGGACTTGCCTCGGTGAAGAGCAGAACGAAGATGGCGGCAACGGCGAGCCACGTGGCGACGGAGGGAGGGTAGCTGCAGTACAGCGCGCCCCAGGGATTTGTTAGAATCGAATACGTCTGCACGCGACGGGCGACGGGGAACGGCAGAAGGGAGAAGAAGGGGGGGGGACGGCAGAAGGGAGAAGAAGGGGGGGGGACGGCAGAAGGGAGAAGACGGGGGGGGGACGGCAGAAGGGAGAAGACGGGGGGGGGACGGCAGAAGGGAGAAGACGGGGAAGGGAGACGGGGAAAATGGGAGAGAGAGGGGGAAGGAGGAGGGGGGATGGGGAGGGACGGGGGTTGTTTGGAGAAGTGATGGATGCGACGGGATGGTGCGGAACGGCATTTGCGATATGCGGCTCGATGAAGAAATAGCGGCGAGCAGGAAGGCCGGCATGAGTGTTGTGCGGTGGAATGCGGAGGGGGAGAGGGGAGAGAACGGGCGGGACGATGGTGAGAGGTAGTCGGGAAGAATGGAGGGTTATGCGGCGAGGAGCGAACGCGAAGAGCGACCGATGCGTGATGGAGACGGTGCCACGGACGGAATGGACGGACGGACGGACGGACGGACGGACGGACGGTACGAGAAGCAGTTGAAATGGGAGGGAGAGAAAGAGAGGCGAAACAGAGCACGGGAGAGAGGAAGAATGCAAGCGGCATCCAGCGCGTGTTGTTATGGCGATGGGTCACTAGTCATGAAGTTCGAATCGTATTAAAAAAAAGAAAGAAAACAAAGCGCTTAGTAAATGAAGCTGGAGGTCGATGGCATTTCGCTATTCCTAACCTCTTTCATCGGCCAATGCAACGGCGCGCGTACCGATATCCGTGTGAACTGCGCGGCGAGGCTGAGCGCGAAGGCTGCGGTTCCGCCGAGGGCGATAATGGCGAGGGCGGCGCGGTGCATGTGCGGCTCCGATATGAACGGCACGTCTTCCATAACCACCACAGCCGAATCCTTGGGAACGCCGATGCCGTCACCGCCACTGCTGACGTCCATAGTCATCTCGCTTCGTTACAAGCGCCGTGGTAAGGACTGCTTATGAGGAGGACACTGGACACAGTGGGGGTGGTTTGGCCTGGTTGTGCGAGTGATGCGTTCGAGACCGTGTGATATGAAGGTCCTAATTTTCTGCGACTGTACGGATTCTCGACGGGTTACTTTCCTCGTACGTTTTCGTCGAGTTTACCAAGCATATTGCACTGCACCAGCGAAAGGTGCTTGGTGATGGAATTGATCGAATTGGCGTCTTCAAAACGGTTTGATCCGGTTCCGTGAATCAGCATATCAATGGACTCATTACCCTCTGATGATATACTGGATGCTAGTTGTCTGGACTGGAAAATATAAATCGATCATGTGATACTTGGCTCAGAGAGAAGGGAGGATCAGGGCCAAAAATATCAGGTTTAGGAGTTACCCTGGTCCAGGTATTATAAACTCTTAAATTACCTTTGGACGGTCTAAGTTTGTTTTCCCTTTTTTTAGTAAACCTGCAACCTCACCCTTCGGAAGTAACGCAGGTAAATAGCTGAACAACTTTATAATACCGCTATGGTAAGAGGATTTAAATTTATCACTTCAACAACAAATAGTGTTTCAAATTACCCTATCTGCAAGGGTTGATGCCTGCCTGACACCTTGATTCATGGCCATCAGCCAATTTCAGACCCTGGGAAGGATGGACGTGGAGGAGGGACATGAAGTTGGGTAGACATACTACGTCTATGTGCTCATCTGATTTGTTAGACCAGTCATTTACTTGCATCTGAATGTATAGATTTTATAAGTTGATTTTCCAGATGTCTCATACCTGTATAAATTCGTCCGAACATGCATGTACAAAAGGATTTTCTTGCCTTGCTCATGATAGTATGGGGCATGTCGTTGTCCCTTTGAGCACGTTTTTGCAGAATTTGGGTTCGTAGTAAGACCGCCCAATATCGGATTGAGACCTCTCAGAACACTACCTCTCTCGTTTCAACGCGTGGAATTCTGCTGGTGAGGGATGTTGGTTGATTCACGTTGACTTCTTGACTTGCTCGCTCCCCTTCAACCTGCCGTACTGTACACAGATGGCATTTTGTGTACAAGCTGATGCCTGATTGAGCACCTCCCGGTTGCCTTGTGAAGGGGGCGTATAAGCTGTATCTTTTTGGTTCGCATAAGTTTCGTCAATTCGCAGCTAGCTAAAAAGGATTCGCAGGTGCTTATATTAAGGATCTGTAACCTTATTCGTTGACATTTTGACTTCAGTCTCTTCAGTTTGACTTCGGTCTGTTCGTTACAATTGGTTCATAACCACGCGACGCGCTTGTACCGAGGGTGCAACAGGCTGGGGAAAAAACCTCGGGTGCAGCGTTTCCATCCGGTGCAGATCAAATTCGCGTGCATGGGGTGAGCATCGCTTGTACAAGCTTGAGAAGTCACCTGGTGAGGAGGAGACATGCTTCCAAGCTGGACCTTCCTACGACGTGCCCACGATGTCCACAGATGGCATTTTGTGGTGCTTATGTTTTTCAGGCAAAGAAAGAACTCGGCCAAGACATGTCCTCCGCGCCTACCGCAGCATTAGTGCCTGGAAGTGGGAGACGTCACGTAGTACTGTACCTTAGTAAATGAGCTGGCTTGCATGAATATGGACTGCTAGCTTGACGGAAGCAACCAGAATCGTTTAGTCAAGGTCGGTGGCGTCGCCGTTTTACGCGACGTTTCGCGGCGCGCAGGAATTCGTGCGGCCACTGTTTAGTACACACCCCTCAGTTCCCCAAGCTCACTGACAGATGTGATTCATTCAGTGCGGTTGATTACGGCTCGTAACGTTTGAGAACCCGTTTCCGCGCCGCACGCGGCGTCACCGACTATCATGGGCACCAGAAAAGAACATTCAGAATTCAATAGACATACTTGGCACACGATTAAGTTATGCGCGCCACGCCCTCAGCTGCTAATAGCTGGTGGTAACCCTAAAGCCGTCGTTACTCCATCGATTAGCACCCATCCATATATAATCGGCTTGGGAGTCCCAATTTATTCCAGTTCCAAGTATCGCTGCAGCGGTACTATTTATGCTAGACCGTCGCAGTCACCGCAGCGGTTGCACCACGCATACCCGCATTACTACCATCATGGCCTCCGTCGCTCGCCCGCCGACCTCTCGCACCAGCCACCGCCGCTCCGCCTCTTCCCGCCACTTCCGCGCATTGTCTCCGCTCCCAGCGCTGCTCCTCGCCGCGTGCTGTCACCTCGCGCTCTCCCCAGACCGCGGGGTCCTGCCCGTGACGCGTGCGACGCCGCAAGTCCCGTGGGATAACTTCACCTCGCCGTGCACGCCGCTCCCGGACCCTCCCCCTGCCGGTGCGTCACTACCCGCGGTGACGGTCGTCCACCGGGACAGCCGCCGCGTATCACGCAGCTAACGCACTCCAACGCAGTCCAAGCCATCCAACGCAGTCCATAAAAGCGGCACTTGGCCGCTGCTCACCTGGTGTTACAATCTCGTTTCTGATCCGTTCTTTTCTGCTCCTCTCTTCCTTCCTCCGCCCTCTCCCTCCTCCCTTACTCCCCACGCCCCGTCTCCCGTTCTCTCATCCCTTGCCCCCCGCTTCCCCCCTCTTTCCTCTCCTCTTCTCCTCCTCTCCCCATTCTTCCCCTCCAGGCTTCAAGCTGTGGAGCGATGCGGCGACATGGCCGGGAGGAGTGGTGCCGGGCGTGGGGGCAGGCACAGGCGGCAACGCCACTATCCCGTGCGGAGTGGCCGTGCTGCTCAACGTGCCGTCTGTCGTGCTCTCCACTCTCACCATTCGAGGCATGCTCAAGTGAGTCGGAGCGAACAGGAGTGAGAAGAGCAGGAATGAGGAGTGAGCAAGAGTGAGAGAATGCTCCCCTTCCGTCTCCATATTCTCCGCTTCGTCGCCACCCCTCTTCTTCCCCCCTTGCCCCCCTGTTTCTTCCCCGGATCTCCCCCTGACTCCCCCCCGTATCCCCCCCAAATCCCCCCTGCCTCCCCCCACGCTATTGGCAGAATCGAGGACACGACAGCACGCCCACTGGTGCAGGTGAACGCGTCGTTTGTGATCGTGGAGGGGCAGCTGATCGCAGGCAGCAGCACAAAGCACTTCTCTCAGAAGGTCGTCTTCACGCTCACGCCCAACCCCAACGGCCGCGCGCCCTACCAGTACACCGCCAACGCACCCGCTGACCCCTCCAACCCCCGCAACTTCGGCAACAAGGCCTTCGTCGTGGTGCGTGCCGTGCTACGCTGCACTGAGTGTGTTGCTCTGTTGCTGCTCTGGACTGTTGCTGCATTTCTGGCGTGGCATGCTGCATGGTGCTGCGCTCTGCTCCGCAATGCACTGTCAGGGTCCCATCCCATTCCCTGTTGTGGTGGCCTCATCCCCATCCCCATCCCCACCACCCCCACCCCCACCCCACCCCCGTCATTCTCAGGTGGGAGGGCAGGTGAGCATGCACGGCATGCCAGGTGGCTCATCCACGCCCTCCTGGTGCCGCCTGGCAGCGACAGCGCAGGCGGGCGATCGGGCCATCATGGTGGACCGGGACGTCACCGCATGGCCCGTGGGGTTTTACGTTGGCCTCGCCTCCACTGACTTCTATGCCGACCAGATCGACACAGCCAAGATCGTTGCTGGTGAGTGAGCCGCAGAAAGAGAAGAGAGTCTGAATCTGAAATCGACCATGTGCTCTGAATTGAAAGAGGTTCACGACGCTTCCCCCCATGCCATGCCAGCTGCTCATGAGAATCCAAAAGTTTACATGAGCAAAAATCTTGTGTTGCTGCTCATCGTCACCCTTCCCCCCTGCTGCAGTGACGGCCATGCCCGGCGGCAGCAAGTGGAGGGTGGCTCTGAGCGCGCCGCTCTCCTACAGCCACTTCGGAGAGCTCGTTTCCGATGGGTTCGGTGGCACGATAGACGAGCGCGGGGAGGTGATGCTGCTGAATCGCACAGTGACCATTCGAGGGGAGGACGAGGCAGCACCGCACAACTGGGAGGGCGGGCACTTCATGGTGTTCTTCACTCAGACCGCGCAGCTGATAGAGGGCGTGGAGTTTGCTCAGATGGGGCAGCAGGGGCAGCTGGGGCGGTATAATATCCACTTTCACCTGTGTGGGAACCAGGCGGGGAAGAGCGTGGTGCGCAAGAACGTGATCCACGACAGCAAGCAGGTGTGTGCTGCGTGCTGCGTGCTGCGTGCTGCGTGCTGGGTGCTGGGTGCTGCGTGCTGCGTGCTGGGTGCTGGGTGCTGCGTGCTGGGTGTGGTTCAAGCTGCGTTGATTCCACTGTGGGCTTGTCCGGGGACGTATATGCATCCTTCTGCCTGCATCTCTTCCATCACGCATCCACTCACTATAACATCCTTCCACCCTCATCGCTTCCCCTTCTCACCCCACCTTCTTACCTGCAGCGCTGTGTGGTGGGTGGTGCAAGCGATGCGACGTTCAACCTGTCTGCCCCGTTGCACTCTCCCGCACCCCCCCCCACCCTCCCCTCCCCCATGCAGCGCTGTGTGGTGGTGCACGCGACGTTCAACCTGACGGTGGAGGAGAACGTGGCGTTCAACACGAGAGGGGATTGCTTCATGGTGGAGGAGGGCGGCGAGCAGGGCAACTCCTTCATCAGAAACGTTGGCATCTGGACGCGCGCAGGTGTGCACACAAGCCGCTTGCATGCACACACCTCTTTCACCACACTGCGTTGTTTTCTTGGTGTTGTTTTGGTTTCTCCTCTTTTTGTTTTGCTGTGCACGTATTTACCATCTGCGATAACCTGTAATTGTTGCTCTCTGTGCATGCGTGTATGACTCTACCTGTGCGCACATGTGTGTGTGCTGATATGTGTGTCCGCATGCAGTGGAGGTGAAGATATCAAGCGAGGAGACGGATGACGAGCCATCCACGTTTTGGATCACCAACGCCAACAACAACTACATTGGGAATGTCGCTGCCGGCTCAGAAGACACTGGGTGCGTGCCTGGCTGGGTGGCTGGGTGGGTGGGTGGCTGGGGGGCTGGATGGCTGGGTGGGTGGCTGGGTGGCTGGGTGGCTGGGTGGGTGGCTGGGTGGCTGGCTGGGTGGGTGGGTGGGTGGGTGGGTTTACCAGGGAGCAGAACGATTGGCAGGCACTCACCTTACTCCCCATCCCAGCTTCATCAACTCAGCACCTCTCTCTCCCTTCACCCAACCCCCTGTCTGCTTCACGCCATCAGCTTCTGGCTCGAGCTATGGGAGCGAGTGAGAGGGCTGTCTGCTGAATGGCCGCGGATCAACACGCTCACCCCCATCAACTCAAACACCTCTGTCGCCCGCTCCTTTCCCCTCTTTGTCTGCACTCCATCAGCTTCTGGCTGGAGCTGAGGAAGCGAGTGAGGGGCCTGTCCGCTGAATAGCCGCAGATCAACTCACTGATTCCCTTCAACTCAAACACCTCTCTCTCCCGCTCCTTGCCCCTCTTTGTCTGCACGCCATCAGTTTCTGGCTGGAGCTACGGGAGCGAGTGCGAGGGCTGTCGGCTGAATGGCCACAGATCAACACGCTGATCCCCTTCAACTACCACCGCGTGGGCACGTTCGCAGGCAACGTGGCGCACTCGTGTGAGGTTGGCTTCCGAGACTACCCCGGGGGGTTCAAACCCCGCTTCAACGCCACCACTCTCGACGAGGCCGAGAGCTATGTGCGTCAGCATCACCACCCTCTCTTCACTACCACCCTCTCTTCACTACCACCCCTTCTTTGAGACGTTTCAGGGCAAGCGTCAATGCCTGCCTGCCTGCATGCCCTGCCCTGCCCTCTCATGCCACCTCTTTGCATTGATGCCACCTCGAAACGAAACATCCCGGCTGCTCTCCCATGCTCCTCTGTGTGCCTGCCCCTGTGTTGATCGTTGCAGTGGGACCATCCAGTGTGGGTGACTATCTCAGGCTTCACTCTCTACAAGAACACCTACGCGGGGTAAGCTAATTCCACCCATACTCCCACTCTCCTCCCACTCTCCTCCCACTCCCTTCCTCTTCTTCGCCCCTCTTTCACTTCCCTTCCCCCTTCCCTCCCTTCCCTACCCCTCTCCTTGCTCTCCCATGGATGCAACCAGCAGCATTCATGCTGCCCTCGCCATGTCTCATCTATCCCCCCCTCCCCAACCTCCCCACCACTGCAGCGCGTTCATCCACAACACGGACTACGTGGTGTTTGACGGCTTCACAGCAGCGGACAACGTGTGGGGGGTGGAGATGCATCAGGTGGAGGGCATTGTGATGCGCGATCTCACGGTGGTGGGGCACACCGCCAACTACGGCAACCCCTTTGATTGCACCGACCCTGACTCCAATGGATGCGCTCCTGTCTCCGGCTGCAAGTGAGTGAGGGAGGAGGGAGGAGGGAGGAGGGAGGGAGGGAGGGAGTGAGGGAGTGAGGGAGAGAGGGAATGGTTGGCTTGGCTCCTCGCTTCTTCTCCGTGGTCCTGCTTTAAGAGCTCACTCCTTTCCTTCTTCTCTCTCTCTCTCCGCCTACCCCACCACCGCCTCCACACCTCCCTTCTCTCCTTCCTTCCCCCTCCACGTGGCAGGTTCCCAGTGGCGGAGGGGCAGCAGGGGCGCAGTGTGGGGGATGGGGGGTGGGAGGAGCCGGTGTACGGGCTGGTGTTCACGCAGAGCCCATGGTTCACCGATGGGCTATTCAACAACGTTGTTGACGGCGCTAGGTGCGTGCATGCGCCAATGCATCCATGCATCCATGCATCCATGCATCCATGCATCCATGTTTCCATTCTTCCATGCTTCATGCTTGCATGCATGGGGCATAGCGTTGAGCAAGTGGGGCAGCATAATAACTCATTGCAAGGGCGAAAGCATGTTGCCCTGTCCGGGCCTGTCTGGCACAGCGCTGCTCAGTGCTGCTCAGCATGGCACAGCATCATCATGCACTCACTCGCATCTCTTCTCTCGCGCACACACACACCCACCGTGCAGGTTCGCTGGGTTTGACAGCACGTGCAAGCCGTCAGCTGCGGTGGCGGTGGGGGGGGACATGGGAACGTACTGGAATGCAGGCAACAACTTCAAGGTGCCCCATCACCACTGCCTCTCACGGCCCTTCACCAGTGCTCCCTGCTCTCTGCTCTCTGCTTTCTGCTCTCTGCTCCCTGCTCTCTGCTCTCTGCTCTCTGCTCTCTGCTCTCTGCTCTTTCGCTGCTCACAGTTGCACCCGCATCATCACGTGTCGTTCTAAAGTACCAAGTGCGCTTGCAGTATATAGCCAGCCAGCAGCATCTCCTCATATTTCCCACTCCTGATTGCACCCATGGACGGTTGCTCCTTGCACATGCTCACTGCTCACTGATCTCTGCTCTCTGCTCCATCATCATCATGTGTTATTCCAAAGAACCAAGTAGAGAGGCAGCAGCATCTCCTCATATTTCCCACTCCTGCGTGCACCCGTGGACCGTTGCTACTTGCACATGCTCACCAAGTAGCATCTCTCAAGGGAAGTCATCTCTTCCCTGTCACACTAACTGATGCTGCATCTGCCTCTTTCTCCCTCGACTCCCCCCATCACCAGAACCTCAAGTTCAGCACTGAAAAACGGACCAACCCAGTGTTTGTCTTGCCTCGGAAATAACCGTCCAGAGTGAGTCGACTTTTCAACCCCACACCGCCCCGTGTGTGCATGCTGCACTGCCACCCGCGTGATTGGTTCAGATGGTGATTACAAACTCCCTCCGCTGTCCGTGCTTCTTGCTTTCGGCTATGCTGCTTGTATCCCTTTCCCCTCTTAAACGTGAGAAGGATCATGCCCTAGGCAGTACAACCAACCAGTATGACGAGTCACAGCTCCAGTCTCCACACATCTCAACTCGCATTATCTCCCTCTCTCCCTCCTCTCCTCCCCCTCGCTCTCTCTCGCTCTCTCCCTGTTCTCCTGCCCCTGTCTGGCCAGTACGACCAGTCGGAGACGGAGGACCATGGGGAGGCAGCGGCACAGGTAGCGTTGAGGGACATGGACGGCAGTATAGTGGGGTCGGAGCTAGGCAAGGCCTCCGTTGGCGAGAACACATTCCCTTCTGCTGCCGCTGCTGCCGCTGCTGCTGGCGCTGCTGGCACAGGCGAAGCTGTTGCTGTTGCTGCTGATGGTTTTGCAAGGCCCAGTGCGGCTATTTCTGCGTCCCTTGGCAGGCTTGTCCTGCCACGGAAAGCTTCCCCTCTGCACCACCGTCGCCTGCTAGGCGTGGCGTCTGATGCGCCTTCTGCTGCGTCTTCTGCTGGTATTGCTGCCACTGCTGCTGCTGCTTCTGCTTCTTCTGCTGCAAACGCTCGTCCTCGCACGCGTGGCACTGCAGCTTCTGCTGCTGCCACTGTCTCTGCTCTCAAGAAAACTGGCGGCCGACGTGGCAAGAACTACCGCAGGCCCCGCTCGCCCAAACACTCACGCACTTTCTTTAGAAAGCCCGCTTCTTCTGCCCACTTGCCTGCCCGCTCCTCCTCCTCTCCCTCCCCTTCCCTATCATCCTTCTCCTCCTCCTCCTCCTCCTCCTCCCTATCCTCCTCCCTATCCTCCTCCCCTCGCACCACTCCCTTCCCGTCCGGCTTCCTAGTGGCCAACAACACAGCGCTGCTCCCCCCGCTGACCCCCTCAGGCACGTACGGCTCATGCAAGCCCATGCCAGCAGCCAATGCATACGCGTGCCCCTCGCCCGCACACTGCTTCCGCACCGTCAACGTCCGCTACTCTGAACCCGCCACGGCAGGCAACACCAACCGCACGCAGGCCCACGGCGTGATGAGCTTCATCAAGGTGGTGCGTGCGAGTGACGGCGCACAGCAGACGTTTGATGGGAACTCAGACCACATTGAGCTGGAAGAGAAGTGTGCGAGGGAGGAGGGTGGGGAGGAGGCGGAGCGGCTGTTTGGGTTCACAGCGCTAGTGGTGGAGGTGTATGTGGTGGAGGTGGTGGGGCCGGACGGGAAGGAGGAGTGGCAGCCGCAGGAGGTTGATGTGTTCTTTGGGGATGGCGTGGACAAGGATTTTGCGGGCAGCTGTGGAGGCGCTGTGACTGTGCGCTTCAAGGCGCCTGCTGGGGGGGACACGCAGTGGGCTGTCAGGATGGCAGATAACGCTGCTTGGCGGTAGGTTTTTCATCGATATGTATATTTTTCGTTCGTTACGTTTGTTCGTTCGTGCTTTTCTCTCTCTCTCTCTCAAGCGGTCCGTGTATTAGATCCGAGCAAGGTACAGACATGCACAAGGATATAAGAAGCAATGCATCTCAGCTTCTAAAACCCCCACATCCTACCTACCCTCCTTCACCCTCTAAGGCAGCTCCAATGCCGGCTCCAGGATGGCAAGGCAGTCCCCGAGGGACATTCCTTCGCCCGGCAGCGCCACAGGTGGGTTCTCCACCTGAGCCGCGTAGTTGCACTTCGTCATGAAGCTCACTGACTGCGCCCGCTGCAGCGCCACGGACCACCGCTGGCGGAACTGGTGCAGCAGCTTTGTTGCCTGGTAAGATGAGGGGGCCGCGTTGAAGAGCCGGCGCGCGCCGGTGTCGGCCAGAAGTTTGAGGAATTGAGGGACCTCCGCGCAAGGACAGCCATAGGTATCAACCGCAAGGGGGAAGAACCCGACCCACGAGGCCGTTGAGCCCTCGTAGTCGGAGATCTTCTTCTCCGCCGCCTCCCTGGCCGCCCATCCCCTGCCCTTGACCGCGTTGGGATCCCGTGTGCTGATGGGGTCTAGGGTCTCTCTCTCTCTCTCTCTCTCTCTCTCTTCTTCTGTTCCTGCTCTCTCATTGCAAGCTCTCTCCCTCTCTTTGAGAAATCCACCCTGCATCGTCATCCCTCCCGCCTCATGCCCCCCTTCTTTTCTGCCTCCCTCCTCTCCCACCTTCCCCCATCCTCCGGCCCCCACCCTTCTGCTCCTCCCTGCAGCCCCTGTTCCGGCACCACTCAGCGTGCACCTGCGCTGTTCTCATACGAGTGCGATGAGAAGTCAGAGCAGCAGCAGGTGCAGGTGGTGCTGTCAGGCGACGTCGACTACTACCTCCCTGCTGCCCTCTATGTCTCCCAGAACCCCCCTGCACCCTTCTCCACCGTTTCGTGAGTCAGATGCCGCCACACCACGGCACGGCATTGTGGCATGGCATTCCACGGCACAGCACAGCACAGCACAGCACAGCACAGCACAGCGCAGCGCAGCACAGCACAGCACAGCACAGCACAGCACAGCACAGCACAGCACAGCACAGCGCAGCGCAGCGCAGCGCAGCGCAGCGCAGCGCAGCGCAGCGCAGCACAGCACAGCACAGCACAGCACAGCACAGCACAGCGCAGCACAGCACAGCACAGCACAGCACAGCACAGCACAGCACAGCGCGGCACAGCACAGCACAGCACAGCACAGCACAGCACAGCACAGCACAGCACAGCACAGCACAGCACAGCACAGCGCGGCACAGCACAGCACAGCACAGCACAGCACAGGACAGCACAGCATGGCACAGCACAGCACAGCACAGCACAGCACAGCACGGCACGGCACGGCACAGCACAGCACAGCATAGCACAGCACAGCACAGCACAGCACAGCACAGCACAGCACAGCACAGCACAGCACAGCACAGCACAGCACAGCACAGCGCAGCGCAGCACAGCACAGCACAGCACAGCACAGCACAGCACAGCGCGGCACAGCACAGCACAGCACAGCACAGCACAGCACAGCGCGGCACAGCACAGCACAGCACAGCACAGGACAGCACAGCATGGCACAGCACAGCACAGCACAGCACAGCACAGCACAGCACGGCACGGCACGGCACGGCACAGCACAGCACAGCATAGCATGGCACAGCACAGCACAGCACGGCACGGCACGGCACAGCACGGCACGGCACAGCACAGCACAGCACGGCACAGCACAGCACAGCACGGCACGGCACGGCACGGCACGGCACAGCACAGCACAGCACAGGACAGCACGGCACGGCACGGCACAGCACAGCACAGCACAGCACGGCATGCCAACCCCCTTCCTTCCCCCTCTGCCCTCAAACTTCGTTGTGGCTTCTCTTCCCTCACCCCCTCCCTGCCACCGCGCACCCACCTCATGCCTACCCTGTCCCCTCTCTCCCCTCCCCTCTCTCTCTCCCTCACAGGCACTGTGGCCTCGTGGCACCGAGGGCAGTGTGGCGCTACAACCAGGAGGGGGGCGAGCTACATCCACGCTACCCCGGCGGTCCAGCCTTTTACAACCCGAACTTCCCGGACTCCTCCTGGCCCTCAGGGCCCGCCCCGCTTGCCTATGTGGACTGTAAGCACTTGGCGCTCACACGCATGTACAGATGTGCTCTCGTGTGCGGTGCACTGCGGTGGGCTGCGGTGTGTGGTTGAGTCATCCGCCGCTGGCGCTGCTGCTGCTGCTGCTGCCAATGTGTAGTACCTTGCCATGCCATACTGCCCTGCTTTCTTCTCCCATCCCCCACACCCTTTCAATCTCAATCCATTCTGCTTCCTTACCAAAGCACCACTTCCATTCCTCCCCCCCCTGCTGTGTCATGCCAACAGACGACTGGAACATGGTGGGCACGTTTCTAATGCAGCCATCATGGGACGCGCGCACGACATACTACTTCCGCACGTCCTTCTCTCTCACCAACTCCGCGTGCGTCTCCCACCTGCTGCTGCAAATGCCGGTGAACGATGGTGTGATTGTCTACATCAACAACCGCGAGGTGCTGCGCCTCAACATGCCCCAAGGGGACGTCACCAACGCCACCTCCGTACGTCGCTCCCTCACCCGGCTCGACTCACCCCTCACGCCTCTCCCCTCAACCCTCTCAGCTCATCCGTGTCACCTCACTTGCAGGGAGTTTTTGAGAATTCTCACCTTGCAGAGAATTCTCACTTGAGAATTCTCAAAAACTCCCTCACTCCGCCTTGCACGGGTAGCGAATACACGTCGTAGAGCCTCGTGACGTAGGCTAACCTCTCCACACATAGTCCACACTGTCTCCCTCGCCCTTCCCTCCCTCAGCACACCGCTCTCAACTCGCCCGCCCCAAGCCCACCCTGCTCACACAATTCCAACCCCTCCTGGCTCTCTCCGTTCCCTTCTCCCCCTCGGCAGGCGTTGTCTGATAAAGAGGGGAGCAACGACAATGGATTCATCTACACAGAGGCGACAGTGAAGCTGCCAGGGGAGGCAGCAGCACCGGTGCTGGTGGACGGGGTGAACGTGGTGGCAGCAGAGGTGCACATCAATCAGGACGACGGATGGGACATTGCCTGGGCGCTGCGCCTCTCTGCTCTCCCCACGTAGGTGGCACACGGCTGTCTGTGAGTTGTGGGACGTGTGTGCCATGGGAAGTGCCAAGTGCGACACGCCTCTGTGTATGGTTACTGCCTCTCCTCCTCACTTTTTGCTGTAGAGCATTGCTGCACGAATGGCCCAGCAGCTCTGTGTCTCACCCTGCTCTCTTGTTGCCTCCTCTCCTGCTCTTACTCTCCTGCTGCAACCCCGCAGCTCAGGTTGCCCTAATCGCTGATGGATGATCGCTGCAACCCCTGATGGCTGAGGAGGTGCACGAGGGGCAGCGAGAGGGCGTCTCGTGCTTGCCACTGCCGTGACCAGTCACTCGGTTGTCAGACAGGCTCTCTGGCGTGTGATGCTTAAGGGTGTGTTCGAGGTTCGAACACATGTGCATAACCGGTACATACAAATGTATGTTTGACACACCCCCATAGTATAAGTGAGAGATAGCAAGAAACTAAAAAGGTCACAAGACTGGTCAAGAGAAGCAACAACACAAATCTCAGGGTAGATAAAAAAGTCACCACGCAGTCTGAGCACAAACAAGCGGCCACAAGGCCAGCTCAAAAGTTCACAAAAATATAAATGAGTTCAAGTACTAGCAATGAGAAACAAGTCTACCGCAAACGAGTGCTTGTCCAACGAGGCCCAAATGCAGACAGAATATCTGGTTGGTCATTAGGCGGAAGGGCCTTGGTGAAGATATCTGTAGTGTTGGCCTCTGAAGCCATGAAGTCCAAGCGTGCCTGGCCGCGTCGCTGCAGCTCTTGCAGTAGAAAATACCTCACGTCGATGTGCTTCACTCCACTCTCCAGGTGAGGCTCTCAACACATCAGATCATGACCTTTTTTCAGCGAACCAGGTCGGTGCAGAGCTCGGCCGCTCACAAGGACAGTGAGCAAGAAGGTCAACCAGTGAAGCTCCTGCGCAGCCATGGCAGCGACGTAGATCTCAGCCTCTGCGCTAGACTGCGCCACAAACAACGACCATGTAGACCTCCACGACACAGCTCCTGCGCCCAAGCTGAAGCAGTAACCCCGAGTAGACCGCTGAGTCAGCACGTCGTCGGCGTAGGAAGAGTCGCAATGACCGGTCAGCACAACTGGTTGTGTCCCTTCAAGCACAAGACCTATGCCTGATGTAGTCAGGCATGAGATTAAGGAAGACACATGGGAGGGTGCGAGCTGAGAGCTTGTCCGTAGACGTGTCACGGACAAGCGCAAGGCAGCCCCAGACACGAAATTATGATGCAGCACCAGGGGACCCAGTCCAAATACTGGTCGGTGAAGCCTTCGGGCGTGAGACACAGGGTTAGAGGTTCAGCTGGTGGGCGGCGTAGCGAACCGCGTAGGGCCACAGAAACTAGAACGCACGAGTACGGATCATGTTGATGCATGCGATCTCCATGACCAAGCCATGCGGCGCTCAGCAACCCCATTCTGCTGTGGAGACTCTGGAAGCGTCTTGAAATAGGTGATGCTCTGCTCGCTACAGAATCCGTGATGAATGCCGGAGCGAAACTCACCTCCACAGTCGGAGTGAAGACAACTGACACAACAACAACTGATTTTAGTGGCCAGCAACAACCGCGTCAGAGTAGAAGTCACGTCAGACGCATTCGTCAGAGAGAACACGGCGGTGGAGCGGGATTAGTCGTTAACGACCACCAGAATGAAGCTCTCCTTTTTGGGCCCAGGCCGAGGGCCAGTGCTCCAGACTGGAAGGGAGAGTCTGGAAGGGTGCGATTGCCATACGAAGGGAGGAGTGAGGGGTGGCGCCCAGCCGACCCTCGACTTAATGAGTGCACGGTGGCGCATGCTAAGGGGGGAGTGACACAAAGACGCGCGGTAGACCTGCGACAAAACGCTGGCTAGCCATGTTGCAGAGGAAAGGAAGGGACGGGTGACCAAGACGGTGGTGCCACAGCACAGTCGGGTGGGTGAGTGACCAACAGGAGCACGACGCAACAACCTGATTGGACGCAGCTACCTGACCAGACGCAGCTACCTGGGGAGATGAAGTGTGCAGTGTGAAGAGCTGCCTGTCCCCCGGCTATACGAGGCCAGTGGAGCATAGGTGTCATCGTCGACATAGGTCCCGTCACTCCCAGATGGAGGACACCAGACGCCAATGTGGCGGTCCTGAAGGTATCTAGCACCTACCAAGTTCCTGGAGAACGAGGGGATGTGGAGACCATTGAGGACACTAGAGGGGACTGCCGGGCATGGGAGGGTGGTAGAGCTGGGTGTAACTGCTTGTTCTGAAGTAGGATCAGCCAGTGCAATCGAAATCGGAGCAGGGAGCGGTGTGAGAGTCGTGTGGTCGCGAAAAAAGCACTGAGACGCGCCAGATTCCAGCATGAAAGAGAGCGACGCCTCAACCGAAGGTGCACCTTAGCTAGTAATAATACATACACCTAGACTAGAAGCACAAGTACCTACACTAGCATTAGGCAAACAACCTAGACTACCAGCACGCAAGCAAACAGATCCAGCAGTACTATAGGCACATCCGCATATATCACAGAGGGAGATTGCAAGACAGCAAACAACTCTACTACAGGCATATGAAACAACAACAGACTAAGAGAAGGAGACCCAGTCTGGAGAGGGGCCGTCACCGTACTCCGCGCGAAGGCAGTCCATGAACTGCGCAAAGCACTGTCCATGAAGGTGAGAGCGGCCAATGGGGTGACCGCGACGTGTTCCAGCCTGTAAAAAGTACTGGCATAGAGAAAGTGGGGTACCAAGAAACTCCCAGTTGGGCGCACCACTGCCACCAGATCCCCATTGCTGAGGTTGCTGCGGCTGTCCCTGCTGCTGGGGCTGTCCCTGCTGCTGCAGCTGTTACTACTGCTGTTGCGGTCCCTGCTGTGGCTGCGGCAGCTGGGCCTGGGGCTGCGGCTGTGTCAAACATATATTTATATGTTATAGTTTGGGTAGGCTTAGTGGGGTACATACTGTGGGGTACAACCCCTTAGGTTTCACTTTTGTACCAAACTTCTCGATAATTGAATCACTTCTCCTTGCCTAAGATTCTAACATGGCATCTAGAGCATAGGTCCTTAGGACCTAGGATTAAGGGCCCACCGGTTACAACATTACCTCTCCTGCCTTGCCTACTGCCCGCGCGCGCCTCGGCTGCACGCGCGCGGCCCTTTTTTTTTTCCCGCGCGCGCCTCTTAAGCAGCCCGCGCGACCCGTTTAGGCCCCGCCCGCGGCGCCCGTTTAGGCCCCGCCCGCGCGCCGCTTACGCCGCCCGCGCACAGCCTGCTTAGGCCACGCCCGCGCAGCCCGCCGCCGCATGCAGCCCGCAGCCGCGCGCAGCCCGTCGCCACGCGCAGCCAGCAGCCGCGAGCAGCCCGCAGCCGCGCGCAGCCCTCAGCCGCACGCAGCCAGCAGCTGCGCGTGCCCTGCCCGTGTGCCTGCCTGCGCGGCCCGCTGCTGCCGAGCCCGCTATCTTAGGAGTGCGTGCGGCCTGCTGCTGCCTAGCGCGCCGCCTTAGGAGCTCGCGTGCGGCCAACTACTGCCCTGCAAACTGCCTGTGTTGCCTGCTGTCTGCTGCCTCTGTCTTTGCCTGCGGCCTGCTGCCTGCTGCCTCCTGTCTGCTGCCTGCTGCCTCTGTCTTTGCCTGCGGCCTGCTGCGTGCTGCCTCCTGTCTGCTGCCTGCTGCCTACTACCGTTGCCTGCTGCCGTTATGACGACGCCTAATGTTCTCGCACTCGAGCCTGACGGTCGCCCCATAGAGTTCGCTGTGTGGCTCGACGATCTCCAACTGTTCCTTCTGACCGATGCCAAAGAGGGCGTTTCACTGTTCGATTACGTGTCTGGCATAGCCATTGCTCCTGCTGCCGATGATCCTGCTCTCGAACGCTCACAGTGGCAGACTCGCGATGCTGCTGCACGCCTAGCAATTAGGAACCATCTGCCGATTACTGAGCGCGTGCATTTCAGCCAGCACAAAACTGCTAAGACACTGTACGGCGCTGTAGTTGCGCGCTACTCCTCCCCGGCCACTGCAGCCATAGGTCGGCTCATGCTACCCTACCTGTTCCCCGACCTTTCCTCGTTCACCACTGCTGAGGACCTCATTTCCCACCTGTGCGCTACTGAAACTCGCTTTCGTGCCGCCGTTTCAGCCGAGTTCTGCGCCGCAAACCCCCACCCCCCCCCCCCCCCCCCCCCCCCCCCCCCGATGTACTTCACTCTCTATTTCCTCGTCACCCGCCTCCCTAACACCCTTAGCTCCGTCAGGGACCACTTCCTAGCGCTAGACCCCCCCACTCTCACTGTCGACGACTTCGAGAAGCACCTCCTCGCAACAGAGAAGAACATCATCGCTGTAGGTGCTGCTCGTGGCACTCCTCGCTCTCCCCTCTTTGAGGGGTGCTCCCCCTCCCCTCTCACCCCCTCCTACGCCTCCGCAGCTGCTGCACACGACTACCTTGGTGCTGAGGAGGTCGGGGCTGCTTCCGCTCCTAGTGGGAAGCGTCGCAGCGGCAGGGGCGGCAAGGGTGGCAGGGGAGGTGGGGGTGGCGGTGGAGGTGGCGGTGGTGCAGGCGGCGGGGGAGGTGGAGGTGGTGGAGGTGGTCGTGGGGGTGGAGGTGGTGGAGGTGGTGGTGGGGGCGGCGAAGGCACTGGGAGCGGTGGAGGTGGCAACAGTGGCGGTGGGGGAGGAGGGAGCGGTGGTGGCAGTGGTGGTCAGGGCCAGCAGCAGTCGCAGCAGCAGCAGCGTCAGCGCCAGACCCCCACTTCCCAGCAGCTTCTTGACTGGTATGCCGGGCGTGGGGCTTCTGGGGGTCCTGGTCGCTGCCCCTATATCATTCGCACAGGTCCCCGCGCTGGTCGCCAGTGCACCGGGTTTCACACTGAGCAGCGCTGCTTCGCTCGTCTTAGCGACGCCTGGCGCATCAAGTTTCCTGGTGCTACTGAGTTCCCCAACTGGGCAGACCTTCCTGGGCGTGATGTACCTATCTTTGATCTTTACTATGAGGCAATTCTTGTTGCTAT